TTCTGGCAGTCTGTCTGTGCCTGTGGGAGCAGGAGATGGAGTTCAGGGAGAAAATAACTTTGCTAGTGTCTAGGCCTCTTCCTCTGACATCAAGAATCATTGTTTTGCGTATTAGAGGGTGCATCCCTCTAAATAGGGGGTATTGATTTATGGATCTCCTTTCTAAATTTGTTCCCAGGATTTTTTGATAATAGAGCTGCGGCATGTCAAACTGATGGTTCCAGAGAATGCTGACTTCAAGATCTCCTTCCTGAGCTATACCTACCAGCAGATACAGTTGTAACTGTTCCAGCTGCGTTGGTGGTGGGTTTAAAGTCTTTAAAGAACTCTGAGAAGAAATACAGAAATGCAGCAGGCTGTCCTGAGGGATTTCTTTAGTATGTGACAGCTACCTGAGAGCACTAGTCAAAAAATAAGATTGCAGTCTTAAAAACAGTTCAGTAGTTACAAAGAAGCTTCTGGAAGTGTGAAATAAGTATTTGACCTCCTCCTTTGCTAAGGTTTAAATTCTTAAGTATGCTGCCACTGAGAAGACAATCAAGATTGAGCTGATGACTCCTGTTCAGTTGGGAGAAAAGACATGTCAGGAAGTCAGTGCCGCTGCAGGCAGGTGTAGAAGAGGAGGCTTAGGTGTGGTAGGAAGAGGTTCTGGTTTTACCCTTGTATTTATGTGGTTTCTTTCAGCCTAGTCTGTTTAATGCATAGTAGGCTTTGTGCAGTGACTTTTATCACATACTGGCAAAATATGGTCTACTTGGACATTGGTACTCTTAAGTAGATTATTCTGGCAGTGTTTCCTTTGGAAACATCAGATAAGTAAGTGCTGGAAATATATCTTAAATGTTTAGTGTACATTTCTCCTAAGGACTAGTTGAGAGAAGAATAAATCAGTTACAATCTGCTACATGATTATTAGCCTTGTTTGTACCTACCAAATGCCATGGGTATATTGAAGGAATGATACAATGTGTACATAGACAGTGATTTACATACAGGTAGAGAGGGTGCAGAGCTTTTACCTGAAGACGTACTCATGCCATCTGGTCGACACTGAACAGAACTTTTCTCATAATTGTTCTTAAAGATGTTTGTAAATCAGAATTGGACTAAAGAAATAAAATTTTTAAAAAATCTGGTTAAAAATATGGAAAGCTTCTGGCTGGATGTTGGTACTGTTGTGGTTTTTTTTTTTTTTTTTTTGGCTAGGGAGTTGCTTGAGTATCCAAACAGGGCAGCAAAGGTTGGCGTTGTATCGGTGGGGTATGTATGATGTTCTAGATTAAAGAAGGTGTATGTTTAGGTATATACATTGAACTTGTGCATATAAATGCTTCTCTCCATGTAGTCTTGCATCAAGGTTGTTCTTTAAAGCTACATATAATTTAAGTTAACCCAGTTCTAAGTATTAAATTGCTATCTGAAAACTAGTAACAAAATGGTTTAATTTTTTCCTAGTCATCAAATTTATTAGGTGGAAATGGCTTGATGAAGCATCATTAATGAAAAAAAGACAAACTTATATAAATTACATCACTGAGATATATCTTTGTCTTTTTCCAATTTAAAGGACATTAAGAGTTTTTAAGTACAACAAACATAGTGAATTTTCCTATGGTAGCAAAGGTTCCTCCCAAAAGTCATGAAATAGTAGAGTTTGAGTAAGATAACATAAGATGATAGAATCATAGAATGGTTTTGGTTCAGAGAGACCTTAAAGTTCATCTAGTTCCAACCCTCCTGCCCTTTGCAGTGACACGTTCTGGTGGCCCAGGTTGCTGGTCAAAGCCCCATCCAACCTTGCTTTGAATGCTTCCAGGGATGGGGCATCCACAACTTCTCTGGGCAGCCTGTTCCAGTGCCTTATGGCCCTCACAGTAAAGAATTTCTTCCTAATATTTAATCTACCTTCCTTCAGCTTAAGGCCATTCCTCCTTGTCCTCTCTCTGCATGCCCTTGTCAAAAGCCTCTCTCTGGCTTTTTTATAGTCCCCCTTTAGGTACTGGAATATGTTCTAAGGTCTCCCTGGAGCCTTCTCTTCTCTATGCTGCACAGCCCCAGCTCTCTTAACCTGTGTTCATGGCAGAGGTGCTCCAGCCCTCTGAGCATCTTTGTGGCCTCCTCTGGACACGTTCCAGCAGGTTCACATCGTTATTATGTCAAGGGCCCCAGAGCTGGGCACAGCACTCCAGGCAGGGTCTCATGAGAGCAGAGTAGAGGGGGAGAGTCACCTCCCCTGACCTGCTGGCCACGCTGCTTTTGATGCAGCCCAGGATGCCGTTGGCTTTCTGGGTTGTCAGCACACATTGCCAAGTCATATTGAGCTTGCTGTTGACCAACACCCCTGAGTCCTTCTCCTCAGGGCTGTTCGCAGTCTGTTCTCCACCCATCTTGTATTTGTGCTTGGGATGCCCCACCCAGCTGCAGAACCTTGCACTTGGCCTTGTTGAACTTCATGAGATTCACACGGGTCCACCTCTGTCCTGTCAAGGTCCCTCTGAATGACATCCCTTCCTTCCAGCATGTCAATTACACCACGCCTGGTGTCATCCACAAACGTGCTCAGAGTGCACTCAGTCGCACTGTTCATGTTCCTGACAAAGATGTTAAACAGGGCCAGTCCCAGTACCAACCACTGAGGAATGTCACTTGGACACTGAGCCGTTGACTGAAACTCTTTGAGTGCAAACATCCAGTCAATTCCTTACCTACCGAGTGATTCATCCATCAAATCCAAGTCTCTCCAGTTTAGGGACAAGAATATTGTGCAGGACAGTGTCAAATGCTTTGCTCAAGTCCACATAGAGGACACCAGTTGCTCTCCCCTCTGACAGCACTGCTGTAACCCGCTCATAGAAGGCCACCAAATTTGAAAGGCAGAATTTGCCCCTAGTGAAGCTGTGTTGGCTGTCACCAATTCCCTCCTTATTTTCCATGTGCTGTAGCATACTGTCCAGGAAGATCTGCTTCATGATCTTGGTAGGCAAAGAGATGAGACTGACTGTCCTGTAGTTTCCCAGTCTTCCTTATTTCTGTTTTTTAAAATTGGGGGTTATATTTCCCCTTTTCCACTCAGTGGGAACTTCACCGAACTGTCACAACTTTTCAAATATGATGGATAGTGTCTTAGTTACTTCCTCTACGAGTTCCCTCAGAACCTACGGATTCAAGGAAGATGGAGGATATTTTTAACCTACGAAAAGCTAAGTGCTTTCTCAAGTTTTTCTCTCTTTCAAATTTGTTTTGGTATTTTTGTTTTGTTTTGTTCTTTCTTGTTTTAAAATGGATTACTTCCTTCAACAGTCAACTTCCTGAAATTCTTCTTTTTTTATGGAAGTTTGTTGTGGATGAAGTGTTTTGCAGTGAGAGGAAGCCCAATCAGAGTAACAAATCCTCATGTGGAACTTTTTACAGAATTTACCTGAACAACTAAAAGAAGTAACAGTATTAGGCCTTCACTGGCTAAAAAAAGTGAATGCTTAGACCATCATTTACACCATAGAAGCATTAAATGTTGAGTACTGCTTGAAAAGACTGATAGTTAAACCTGAGGATTTTGAATAGCAAGGTATCTGAAGATATCATCTGCAGCTTGTCTGGTTTTATTTTATGCTACATATTTTTATGTAGTATCTACATATTTTTAACTTAAAAATAGAAAGTGTATGTTTAAATTAAACATGAGGGTTTGCTTATTATAATCTTTATTAATTTTTTTGTCAGAGTGGGAAAAATATATGTAGAAGCTGTTGTTTTATTTTATGAAGCCATGAGGAGTGCTGTGGTTTACAGTAAGATTAGGCATGGCTTTAGGAAGAGGTGAGCAGAGCAGTTGTGGTGAACCTGGCTCTTGTGTACCTGGTCTGTCCATATCCCATGAACCAGAGCTTGAAAGTGCTCTGGGCTTGCTCAGCCTTCCCTCTTCAGAGTTCTCCAGTGGTTTGCCCCTAGCTGGATCCATGTTTGTCTCTTACCAAGGTGACACTGAGGCTAGGCTAGACCTTCCTTCTGATCCCAAAACAGACCTGCTGTGCCTCTGAGTTGGAGTAGCTGAAGCAGTTCAGGTATGAGTGGGGAAGGTGGGTGAGAAGTGAAAGCATAGGACACAGTAAAACAGGAGAACAAGGTATGGATGATTAACGGTAATCAATTAAAACCTAAATGGCTAATTGATACTAATTTGCACCTCTGAGTTCTGCAGAAAGGATGAAGCAAGATGAAACATAATAATAGGTGATGAATTAGCCTTTGCTTGTGTTGACAACTATTTTAATGTAATCACTGACAGACTGACTCTACCATTCTTCATGGACTATGTGAGGAAGAACAGCAACTTTCAAATTCTGTGCATGTATTTTTATAAGCATGCTATCAAAGTAAAAATAACCTATACCTCTTTATTTCACACTGAGAGAGAGGGAATCAAATCAGTAAATTTAGAGAACACGCTATAGTGCACCAGTGTCATATGTTACATGTCACTGGTGAGCCAATGCTCTTACCCTTTTTGTTTGCAGGTCAAGAAGCTGTAGTTTTGGGGTTAAATCTTAAGAGTTTCATAATTCATGTGGCTGTCCTGTCTGTTGTGGCCCCTTCTGGCAGTGACAGTTTATTTCATTCCTGTCTACTGAAGCTCTTTAGACTGTCTTCGAAGCTTCCTAGATCCCCTTCTTACTGTGATATACTAAAGTGGAGCCAAGCAGCTCCAGCTCCGGCAGAACATTCAGTAGCCCAGCTATACTCACTGACATCACAAAATCATCAAAGTTTTGTATTCTCTGCTTAGCAGGAAGGAGCTCTTGCTGCAGTAACCCAACCAGCTCTTTTCCAAAGCATGGCCATTCTCTGCCGCTGTCCTGAGCTGCTGTGCTCCCAGCAGCACTGCACGGAGATGGGGGATCCGGCTGCTGCTGCCCATCAGCCACCCAGAGCCAGCAGTGGCAGTTGTACTCTGTGCCTGTAGGTCTGATTCACATTTATTGAATGTTTGCTTCTCTATATAGGTTCAAGGTGCAAGTTTCCGGGGTTGGAAGGAAGTGACGTCCATGTTCAATAAAGATGATGAACAGCAATTGCTAGCAGGATGCAAGTCTCCAAAATCCAAAGGGTAAGTAAAACCAAGTGGTCTATCTGCTATTAAAATGTGCTCACTGTAACAGAAAATAGATGTGCAAGGTAATGAACCTAGACACTGAGAACAGTAGTGTTCAACTCCTGGAAGTCAATCAGCAGAGAAAGGTTTAGGTACATTTCAGTGTATGTTAGGCTTACAATGAATAAGGCATGGTATATTAGGAAAGGACAGATGTTGTTAATATTTTTAGGTTTGTCAGGAAGAAAGGGGAATTTAGCTGCATAATAATTTTACTGTGGAAAAGGAGTAAAGGCTTCTGAGTAAAAGGGCCATTCTCACCCTCTGTCTTTCCTCTTAAAGATTAATTATGGTTGAGTTTACAAATTCCTTTTTTTACATGCCCTACTTTCTCTTTTGAAGTCTTACTACACCTAAAAAGGTTAAGTGGGGTAGCTATACTAGGATCTGCAAGTCTTCCTTGTCAGAGCTGAGGTGGTTACTTGGCACAGTTCTGCTGCTGATATGGTTAGAGCTGTCCTCTGAACAGAACAGTTCTCTTCCCAGAACAGACTATTTTGCTGTTATAAGTGTATGTAGGTTTTGCCTTCATGTACTACCTAACTACTTTGGGTACAAACCAAGTGTGCCACATATCAGTAGATCTGTTCCAGCCAATTATTAGCTTTGATAAGACTTGCTGTAGTATGCTTTGTTTCCAGTTTACTTTGAAATATATGTGTTTCAGAATGCAAGGCTATATACTTGAATGTAGGGGGTGTTTGTATATAAATGAACAACGTAGAATATAAAAACATATATTTCCATTTCCATTTGAGCCTGTTCAATAAAACTTCACAAGAGTTCCCAGCTGTCCCTGTATGCTTTTATGGGTATTACTAAGATGCTAGGCTTCTCTAAGGATGCTTTGCAATTGATGCTGAATATAAGAATCAAGTAACACAGTGAAGAGAGTAAAAGTATTAAAACAGAGTTACCACAGATGTGGAAAGCTATTTTGGAATTACTATGAAAACTGCCCTTTTATTAAATTTACGATATTTTTCTTTAACTGCATGCCACAATTTTTACTTTACTTTTAAAATGCAACTTTTCAAGTGCACTGCTTACGAAATACAAGAAAAGTGCTTGGAGTATGTGACTGGTTTTAGCACAGTCAAAATTCTGAGAAATCATAGATTCAAAAGCCAGTAAAGAAAAAGTAATTTTAAAGATACTGATTGAGTTGCTTCTATTTAAATGCGATAGAGAAAAGATTTCATGGATGAAAAAAAGCTCTTTTAATAGAAATATTAAAAAAAGATTCTGTGATGGGCTTAGTTGTGCCTAAGGAATTTATATCCTACCAGTGGATAATGTTTTCAATTTGCTGTTCAGCTCATTGAACCCTGAAGGTGTTGTGTTTCACCACTGGTGTTCAGCCTGTCCTTGTGGCCCATTATTTGATTACGTACATAACCCTGCACAGAAAATTAATCATAGACATTTGACATTCTGCAATTTAAATATTCCAGCTGTAATTATGAAATTATTAAGACTGAAGATTCTTAATGGGATAAGAAAAGTAATAATATGAGTAGCCTTTCAAATATCTCTTTGAGAGAGAAGTTGTAGTAAAGGTTGTTATTTCTTGGGTTTGGGGGGGGGAGAAATTTGGGAGTTCTTACCAGAAGTACTCAACAGTTGTTTTCATGATATTGTGTGGATAAAGCTGGTGTCTTTAAACTCCTAATACTGTCCTAACAGTACATCAACTATTTTAGGGCATAAGGTTTAACTGGCAAGGGGGAGACAGAGACATAATGAGTGTTAAAGCAGGTGTTAGAAAGGACATTTTCATATTCCTTCTATTATCCTACCTCTGGGGATTTTTTGTTTTGGTTTGTTTTTTGTTTGTTTGTTTTATACTGTGTTTTGATTAAAGTCCTAAATAGTTTTAATGCATCCTAAAATACTTGGCACATTTCCAAAGGCAGTTCTGTGTAATTCACCCTTGGGGGAGTGGTGGTGGTGGGGGGGGTGTGAGATGGTATGTATGTAGATTATTTTATAATAGGAAATGACCATGCTCAGTCCTCATCTGATTTATCTGCAGTGTTTTGGTTTACATGCATATGATGGTGTTTTACCTGAAGTTGACAGTAATAGATGATTAGACAACTCATTAGCATCCCTGACTTTAAAACATAATACATTAATTGAATGCTTATTATTAACTACTACATACATTGTTAAATGAAGAAATTAATCACCACATCGTTGTTTTTTTTCTAGAACAAACCTAAAGTTAAAAGAAGAGATGAAGTCTGAAAAGAAGCCAGGTTTTTGGGACAGTTTGGTGATAAAGCAGAATGTTCCACCTAGGAAACCAGATGAGATTGAGGGATGGGAACCACCGCAGATTAGCACTGCTGACTCTACCAGCGATGCAGCAACTCCTTTAAGTGACTATGCAGCCTGGTCTGGCTGGGAAGATGAAACCAAAGGCTCCACAAAATACACAAACCTGGCCAGCTCAGGAAACAGTTCCAGGTGGAGTATCAAATCAGCTGGAAAGCTGGTTAGTATTAGACGTCAAAGCAAAGGTAACCTTACTGACAACTGGGAAGAGCTAGAATGATACTGGTAATGTGGAATACTTTATAGATAAGAAGAGAAAGATTCCATGATTTACTCATATATTTAAACCAAAATCAAATTTGCTCGATCTTGCACCTTTATACAGTACTTTGTTTTATTCAGATTGTTACAAATTTTTGCTCACCTGATAGTAAATTTTCTTATTACATTGTTAAATAGCTATGTTTTCCACACTGAAAAAAAAGTAGAGAATCTATTTTGTGCCTATATTTCACATTCAGACTCTGCAGTATGTTGGATTGTTGGTTTTACAAAAAAAAAAGTAATTCCTTAGTGAATGTATACACTGGTTGTAAATTTGACTGCCTTATGTAGGAAGTTCCACTAGCTTGAAGTCCTGTTACGTTTCTGATGTTTGAGGGTCTCTCAAAATTTTAATTTTGATGCTGTCCCTTTTTAACCAAGAATACTGATTTGTCGCTTGCAGGGAGAATGCTTGTACTTTGTAGATTGTTTTCCAAATCTTCAGCCTCAGCATATGCTTCAGCTTGTGCACACAAGATGCTTACTGTCACAATGTGCTATACGGTGTATGAAGTGGGAAAATACTATTCTAATGTAATTCCTTCCATTAGAAGATTGTCATTAATAGTCAGGTCAAATGGGTCTTCCAGAACTAGGGGGGGATTTTGGTGATTTTTTTTCCTGTTTGTCTGGGAGATGTTGAGCATTTTTTCCCTCTTGGTTTTTATTTGTTTGTTTTGTTTTGTTTGTTTTTTGTTTGATGTTTTTTTTGTGTGTGTGGTTTTATTTGTGTTTTGGTTTTTTTGGTTTGGTTTTTGGTTTTTTGTTTGTTTTTTTTTTAATTTTTTTTTTAGTGTTTTTTGTTTGGTTTGGTTTTTTGCTTTTTTTAATATTGAATTTTATTTTTTTTTTTTTTTACAAAACTAAGTTTCTCAGTTTTTAAGATGCATGTTATGCCAAAAATACAAATGATTGAAAATTTGGAAAGCAGCAGTGAGTAGAGCATAATATGATCTTGATATTCTGGGGGGATATCAAGTCTGGATCTAGGTATAAGTTGTTTCTTATGGAAGGGCATATGTTCTCTTTTTTTTTACAATAGCTGATCCTTGTTCTAGAAACAACTTTTTTGTTTTTTACTGTGTTGTTCTTTCCCCTGTACCCCATAAGCAACGATCGAATTATACTCTGGCATTTTCAGGGCAGAGGAGTAACTGAGCCATTGCAAGTATGTGCATAGACACAACTTCTGAAGCATTTTTGTTATAAAACTCTGTCTTATTAGCTACTGATATTTTGATTTTTTTGATAAAAGTAGGTGAAGCATTAAACGTGAGATTTGAAATGTATATATGATAATAAAAGTGCCTCTTTTTAGCTTATTGTCTCTCACTAGTGGTGCAGCTGATGCCAGACCCAAAGTTGGTTTCTATTTTGTTTATATGACACACATAAACGCTATTTTAACATTCATGGGTAAAAATCAAACCAAAAGTTTCATAGGAAATGAACAGTAGGCCTTTTCTCTCCTGATTGTTCAGCTGAACTGAAAATTTGAGTGCCTAGCAATATGGCCAGTACAGCTGGAAGATCAAGCTAGCATGTCAGAGAAAATCAGCATTTTTACAAGAAAGTATATACCTTTATATAAGAGATGTCTTGTAAACATATTTTTGCAAGAAGCCTATGCTGATGGAAAGGGATGCATGCATTTTTTTCTAAGCTTGTACCTTGTTTCTGTTACTGCCACATTACTCCTTCCTTAGCTCTCTCTTTCTCCTCCCTCCACTTCATGTAGAGTGTTCTGGCTTACAGTTCCTACATAGCTATTTTTTGGAGATTCCTGCTGAGATGTGCCTGGAGGAAAACTGTAACAAAATGTTTTTTGTTGGTTGGTTTTTTTTTTCTCCTGATATTAATAGGATGTTAAAAGACATTGTCCTTAAGTTTATAGAAAAGAACATTGGTGTTTTCTGCTACAAAACAGGATCTTGCAACTGGCAAATATATTTGTAAAACTGGCATAAGTTATTGAAAAAATACTAATAGAGGAGAAAAGGTTAGCATTTATATTGCATCATTTAGTCTGTCAGTAAACTCTGTATTTGCCTTGGGCAAGTACATACGCTGAGGTTAATTATAGGAAAGAGTTAGTATTCTTGGGTAAAGTATGCTGCATTTTATAGTTTATGGAATACCCTTTAAGGCATGAGCTAATATTTAGTTTGGTTGTTGGTGCTGACCTAAAAAAACAGAAAAAGATCTGTTAGCAGCCCTTAATATTTTGCTTTTAAAGATGGGCTGAGAACTTTTAATTTCACTCCTGAATAAACTATTTATACTGTGACCAGTAAAGGTTTTTGCCTTGCACATTATACTGTCAAGTGCCTGTTTCTCACCTTGATGATGTGTTTGATGCACAGCTTAACTGCAACCTTTTTCAATTTGTTTTTAGATGTATGATAAAGAAATCTGAAGCCTATTAAAAAACAAAATTGCATCCAAGTGGGAAATTGAGATATGTAAAATTCCTGTTTCATTCCTAGTGATGAAAGTTTTGTTGTGCTTTTTAAGTGATATTTCCTCAGAAATAACTAAGGATCAACATTATTAAATTTAATATAATTTATTGTTATGCTTTAATAATCTATTTTTCTTTTAAGAACTCACGGTGTGAGCTTTCCTTCTCTTATGTTTATAAATGTGTCTGACTTTTCAGAATGGGGTCCCTTCTTCTTTTACCTTCATTAGATGCTTAACTACATTATACATTTATGGGCTTAAGCTATACACAGCTCCATATGTGGAATAAATGTAGAATATGTTCCTTAAAATTTGTTTTAAAAGTTGCATTTCAAACTACGTGAAATGGTTTAGAAGAAGGTAGCATTAAGATTGTACGATCAGATTGCACAAAATAAAATATAGTTTATATTGCTTTCTCGTAGCCAATCTGCATGATTGTTGGCGTGGTTTTAATGGGAATTAAAAGCTTTGTGTGGCTGTTACTAGTCACTTAACTCTGAGCAAAGTTCTTTCTGAGTATTTTTATTTATTAGCATCATTTGCAAAACAAGAAAAGTAGTATTTTCCATATGAATAAAGATTTAGTTTGAACTGAAATGCCTCATTCTCTGACATTTTTTTTGTTCCATTTTATTTGTCCTGTGAATTTGTTTCCATCTGTGTGGATGTTTCTTGCATCACTGCAGAGGATGGCCAAGGAAGTGATGGTGATGTTTGTTCAAACTCCATGGATCATGCCATCTCAGAAGCTGCAGCATCCTAGATTTAAAGCATCACACGTTGTTTCACAGTGAGAAGAATTCACTGGTTTTAACAAACTACAAATATTTTGCTTTACTGGTATTTATTGATTTAAACTTTTTGTTTTGTTTTTTAATTTATTGACTGTTACGAAAGCTGGGGCAGAGCAGCGTTCTTTCCCTAAAGATTTCACCAGCTACATGTAAACTAGAGGACCTGGAATGCTTTTGCACACACTGGCCCCATAACGAGGTGAGACCTGCACGTCCTGGGCTGGTGCACCCACTGTAACCAGGGGATCAGCTACAGACGGGAGAGTATTGTCAGCCTCTCACTCTTCCACTCTCGTCTGCTGGCTTTGTGGTTGCCTACACAGACTTAGAAGGGAAGATTTAGGCAAGGTGCTTCATACTGTAGTGTGAGGACTAGGCAGAACAGAAAATTTTATTCATAAAAGTTGAATTCTTAAGGGGAAAAAAATCCTATATCGAGATGGCTCTGACTAGACCCAGGTAGGTCAAGTGAACATCTGGGCAGGTGAAAAGGAGCGGAGGGACCTGCATTTCCAGACCTGGGGTAGACAAGGACCCTGCCAAATTTTGAGCATAGATGTTCCCACAGCCCAGGTGAATTCAGCCTGGCATCTGTCTCAATTTCCAAAACTTTTTGAAATGCTTGTTAATGTATGGGAATGTTAGATGACAAAACTATAGGTCCTATCTCTGTGCAAGCTGAAAACATGAACTGTTTCTTGCATATCTAAACTGTTCTTGCTAAATTTATTTTTTTTCCTGACTGCCTGTTAGTTTGTTTCTGAAATATCTGGAAAATGAAACGAGTACTGAGGAGAAAAAAAATAATTTCCAGAAAGGCTTAGTCACTGGTGATGGTTTGCAAAGTTGTGTATCGTTAGATGTCTGTCAGACTCTCAAAAAATTGTTGTGGAGTGCCTTCTTTGTACCGTACAAGATAGGAAATCAGATATAAATCCAGTTTAGAAACTGAAAGGAGAGAATTACATTTATTGTAAGTGCAACCAGTAAAATAGCAGAAAATAATGCTTCTTCTTTAGCTACAAAGCAATAAAGAATATGAAAGCAATCAGAAAATAGGGATATAAATAATAGAACATTTTATTAAATATATAATAGGAAATAAAGTGTAGGGAGAAGATGGTTTTTAAATTATATTTACCAACAGTTATCACAGGTAATGAAAAAAGAAATACCTGCTCTATATTTGGAAAGAAATTCTTCCTGTTCTGTGTCTAGTATTTACTAAAAGATGCAAGAAAGGGGGTATATTCTTTTCAAGTCCATAATAATCTGATAAAAGCTTGGCTGGCACCTAAATTTTTATGCTGTTGAGACCCAAATAACACTAGTGAAAGCTTAATACCACATTTTGAACTGTGAGTTTGCTATTGGAAAAGAAAAAGAATTATGCTCTGCAGCAAAAAACTCACAGCGGTATTTTCTAAGATTGGTTTGTCCACTACTGAAAATAATCATGTGATCTTTTGCTTTACAGTTGTTCCAACCTCTTGTACTGAGGAGACTCTCTGAACAGCTGAGTTTAAGTAATTTTTCAGAAAATTGGCTGGTTTAGTTATTTGAGTTTGTATGGCAAAACAGGTCTGATTCATTCCTTTAATGCCTTTTGGCCCATCTTGTCCTGTACCTTTGTCCTTGAAACCCCCAAATGCTGTTGACTTGACCATCTTGTTTGTCCAGGAGTCATGGATTCTCCACTGCTGAATGCTTCTGGTGTTTGAGGGACAGAAAACACTGGTGTGTATGTTTGTGCTGGAGAAAGGAAGGGAGACCAACGTATCCTGAGACCAAGTACTGCACTTGGCATGTTACTTTTTTTCTGCCAAAGTTTCCTAATGTGGAAGATGATTAATATTAATTACTCTTTGCTTTGTTTTATTTTTGTACTTGTCCCATATTAGCTTTTTTTTGGGGGGGGAGGGGGAGAGTCACACATGCAAAGACATCCTGATTACATGAAGACCTACTCTCTACTATTTCTTGCATGACCGACACCCCCCTTTTAGGCTGACTTGCCTTCAGTTAGTGCCTGTAAACAGTTTATCTTTTGAACATTTAGACAGAAACTTGGCAACCAACATTTGATAGGAAAAACAAAGGAAAACAAGTCAAGCATCATTTCCCATTAGGAAGTAAACCATTGTTTGATGGGATGGAGCACAAGATTCCCAGAAGCCCTACTACAGATAGAGTAATGCTGCACATAGGGTTATCTTGAAAATAAGAGACTTAATGAAATATATACTTGCACTCTTTTTTTCTTTTTCATTTTATAAACTCTTGTGTCTCCTGAGGAGCATCAAGCTGTCAGCAGAGCGTGGCTGTCCTGCTGTGCCTTGCAGGAGAGCGAGTGTGAGTTCACCAAACCCTTGTAGCCAGGGTGG